ACACACACACACACACACACACACACACACACACACACACACACACACACACACAGTCCCAAGCAACTCCGGAGACCCCCGTGTGGCAATTCTAAGGTTCCCAGCAACACAGTAGTTTGAGGCCACTTTTTTAAGATTTTGAGGGGGTTGGATATTCAGCCTCATTTTTAAACTTACATTTCTTTGCATGTTTTGGTAATTTCCTCTGTCGCCAGCCTTGACTTTTGGGAAGTCTAGCTAGGTTGTACAGTTTCTTACTGTTTAAACAAGAAATTGTTTAAACTCTAGCGGCTGATACCCATTAAACAGCAGCTGTTGCCAGTGTTATTCTTTCTCACAGAAGCCAAACATGGAGCCACCGGTGCTTGAAAACGTGCCTTGACAATCACGTTTCCCATCTGATGTTGCAGCCCACCTCCTAGAACCAGCTGCTCTAGGTCAGGGGTCATTTACTCATTCTAAAGGCAGAATCCCCATGCCAGTAACCACTTCATTTCTAAATAGACACATCTACCCCGCACTCCATCCCAGACATTCACGTGGGCCTGCCACCGTAAGGACCTTTTGGAGTCTGGAACTAAGAACATTTGTGGTGTAGGCATACAACCTGGGAGGTGGGGGAGTCTTGGATAAATGATGGCCAGTGAGGGTGGGGATGTTTGGGAGTCTGGCAAGGACATGCGAAAAAACAAACCAGTAGCCTATAGAAAAAGCGGGTTGGATATCAGGGGCCGGTGGGATATGAAGAAAGTATTAAAAATTGTACATGTTTAGGAACATTGGCTTCAATAGGCCACAATTAAAAAGGAGGGGAAAAGCCCTCACTTTCCCACTTTACCTTTTAACTGCATGGTATTTTCCTGGAAATAATAAGTAAGTAAGTAAGTAATAATAATGGTAAAAATAATAGTGCTGATATCAATTGAGTACTTTAGGTTTATTGACACATTTATTGTAGGAAGAGAAAAAAAATCCTATGCACTCAACTATTGCTTCAACAGTCATATAAACTTACCGTCCAGCTGGGAAGAAAATGAGCCTGATGATTATCCTGGAACCTAAACAACTTGTGCTTTTAATCTTCTTCTTCCCTAACAGTCAGGGACTAAGGGATATTAATTTTCCCTGTAGGTTCACAATAAACAACAAAGTGCTTTTTATTCACAAATTCAATTTTTTATATCCACTCTGCTAGGCAGGCCTGGATATCCCCATTTTACAGAGGAGGAGACTGAGGTTCAGAGAAGTAAAGTGACTTGCCAGGGCTCTGGAACTAACTAGCACAGTCCACCCACTCTAGACACGCTCTTCATGGTCCCAGTGGGTGGCCCAGGAAGGAGGTCCCGAATGGAGGTGTGCTGGACTCCAGTATTTGCTTGCTGAACCCATGTATGTCACCAAAGTCCAGCTAAGATGATGAATAGTTATTGCAAGAGCACACAACTTACTTTCTCACTCGCCTGCCCCTCCCATGTGTCTTTGTGGACATTTTAAAAGGCAGAAACTGGAAATGTTTACCTATGTCCTCGAACTAGATACCAGCTAGACTTCTAGATATCTACTCTAAGGTGTGATGCTGAGGTGGGATTTCGAAGGTGGCATCCTGCCAACTTTTGCAAGTAATTCAACTCATTGTTCTTGATAGAGATAAAGAAGGGGGGAGTAACATGAAAAAGTGCTACTTGAGAATTGTGACTTTTCCTGAAAGTTGTCAGCAATCATGACATGCTCTTCAGCCTTCCTGACAGGTCTTACTGAGTTAAGTATCATTGGTTTGGCTTTTCTGATTTCTCTGGAATTTTCTAGGCTTCTTGGGGAGCCCCACTTTCAGAAATCGAGTTGTGACCCTTCCATACTTTGGGAGTCCTACTGCAGGCCTTAGTGGAGGAGGAACTCATGGAAAAGCTTAAGCAAATGCTACATACTCCTTCAAATGCCTAAGTGAGGAAATAGAAACATTAGGAGTAACTTCCAAGGTCACTTTCTCTGCTGTTGCTGAGTCCCTCTCTTTAAAAGAGGGTGGTGCATCCTTGGTAGTTCTGTTCCTGAGGAAAAACAGTTTCTGGAGGCCAGAACTACTCAACTGCCACTGTATTTTTCTTTCACAAAAATACAAATATGGTTCATCTGTCACATAACCCACCGGAAAAAGAGACATCTTGTGGCAGTGGGTGCTTGAGGCTACTTTTCAGTAAGTCATTATTAACCTCTAGATCTTGGCCATTTCAGGAATATGTATGTCGACACAATGGTTCATGATTATTGAACATACATCATGTGGCAAGCTTAGTGCTATGCCATCTATGTTGCTTGCAGCTGGGGCAATAAAAACACATTGAAATCACAGCCATAGTGACTGGCCCTCAAGGTCAGCAGCATTCTGATGGTAATGACAGCCCAAAACCTTCTTTACTGGGTTCCTGGCATGCTCCAGGCTGCCTTCATCTTCATTGTCTCACTTTATCCCTTCCTGGAGGGACTATCTATAGCTATCTACTTCAGTCATAGAAGCTTCACAGCATTATGATAAAGTCATTAATCAGTTACTACTGGACAAGCTGCTCTATACTAGATATTACAGGCAGGATGTATAATGTCCTGGACATATGATCAGAGTTTCTGCTTGTGAACAAGTGGGCATGTGAACAATCACAATAAATAATATTAGCTAGCATTTTTGCCTATATCCATGGATTCTGTAAATAGAATTCTAACTCTGCTTTATTAAATCCTGATTTCTATACAATAGATTCTTAGCTGGTTCCTACAATGAGCAGGTTTTATGTTGTATATATGATACACCTTTATTTGTGAGACTATATTTGTCTTTAACCTAAAAAGTGTTTTTGAAGTTGCATTAGTTATATATATATAAAATGTTCTTGTTATCAGTTATTTCCCCTCAGATTTTATTGCCAGTTACTTACATAACTATGTAATTTGAGGAGTACAAGTTCACATCTCCACATTTCACTTCTATGGAAACTTCAATGCCAAGGTCATTGTCACCTCTTTTCCTTTGGATGGTGTAAAGGAAGCTGGTGTCCTGAATTCCTTTTGAATTGACTGAGTCTTTACTTGCATTAGTAAATAAGGTGACGGACATTACAGTTCTTTGATGAGTTTCATTGAGTTTTGGAGACTTTTTTCAGTGTCAACCTTTGGAGAAAGAGGAAATGCTTGATTCCCCCACCCCTGCTGCAGCATTTTCCTTTTTTTTTATTCTTTCCATGGTTTCCTGCTGGTTGTAATAATGCAGGAAGGGAGAAGTGTGGAGAGGGAGAACACTGCCAGTGAGCGAGCAAGGCATTTTGCAGGAGCTGCTTTGAAGGAGAAATTGACATATTCATCATCCTCTCTTTCTCCCTGCTTTCACATCCTCTCTAAATTAAAAAGCAAACAGAAAAAACAAATATACCGCACATTTGTTTTCGGAGAATGGTGTGATAAAAATTTACTTAAAACAGTGTAGGCTTTACTGATAGTAACAGCTCAGCAAGTGATTTTTCCTGGTATTGATTCTGTTCTTCCCCCCGGCCATTTACTACAGGTTTCTATGCCAACGACTGATATCAAAGGCTTTTCAAATGGGTGTGTTCTGGAATATCAAGCCAGATTTTTTTGTTGTAGCTGCTGAGAGGTGAACTTTGTTTTAGCTAGCAGGCTGTGTTGAAAGCAAAGGATATATTTTGTTTGTTTTACTGTTTGCCATACATAGTTGCATCTTTGACCCTATGCTTCTAATAGAGTATTTCTCTTGGTTTGGGGGCATATGTTTAAACTGTTTTTGACATCTTTCCAGGTATACTCACAACGTTGTTTCTTTTGTTTTCAGAGAAAGTTATACTTTCAGCCCCTCTCAGTAGGCACTCTAGACACCAAAAGTGTTTTCAGTTCTTGTAGGGATATTGTCTATCATGTCTTTCTCTTTCAATCAACAGAATTCCTTCCTCCTCACTCCATCCCTAATGTGTCAACACCTGTTTCCTCATTTGAGCTTCCCAATGATTCTGTGAATTAATAGTCACTATCCTCCATCCCACCCCTAATCTTATAAATTAGAGAAATGCTCTGGGTGTTTGGGAACCAAAGGGAATTTTTCTGGCTCATGAGCCCAGGGTTCTATGACTTAATTTTTTCTTTATGCCATTGGCAAATGTCAACTCACAAACTTCTCTAATTGCTCTAAGAGATGTCAAAAACCGGGCCCTTCCTGGTGGCACAGTGGGTTAAAGCACAGCTCTGCAAGCTGGCTATAGCCGCTTCAGTGCGAGTTCAATCCCTGGCCCCGGAGGTGACCCACATGGTGCAGCAGACCTCTCCTGTATCGCCCGCTGCTCCCCTCAGCAATGTACTTTGTTAAGCTGCCTGTTCTGCTCTCCACTCTGTCTCTGGTGAATCCTCTCGCTGCCCCCGCACCTCTGGCTGGTACCCCAGTTCTGTATGCATAAATAAATAAATAAATCTTAAAATAAAAAAAGAGATGTCAAAAATCTTCTTACCCCAACAGGCTC